TCTGGTTCTGGAGACTTCGCTCATAGCCAGCAAACGTGGCCTTGCACCACAGCCTTCCAGACATACTGTCCTTTAGAAGTCCTGTTCCCAGCAGGTCCCAGAAACCGGCCCCCAAAGTTCAGCAGAACGAACGGCCCTCACCTCTAAATGCCTTCTTTTTGTAAGAGTTGATGGTGTCTCTGCAGCAGTGGAACATTGACCAAAAAACCCAGTGTGTATAGTGACAGGAACTGAATCCAGGTGTTTATGCTTGCTGAGTAGGTGAGCACTCTACCAATTTAAGTACACTTTAGTCCTATCTTTATCTTAAAATTAATTCTTTTTCCTCTTTTGCAGTGCTGGTGTTTAAGCTCAGGGCACCATGCATGCTACACAAGTGCCCTATTGCTGAGATACACCCTTTTAAAAATTAATTTGTTTAACTGTGTGTGGTGGTACACACCTTTAATCCCAGCACTCAGAGGCAGCAGGCAGATCCCTGTGAGTTCATGGCCAGCCTGGTCTACACAGGAAGTTCTGTGACATTGATAGAGTTAGGCTTCAGCCACGCAGAGTCTCACCTGTGCTATATCTATATATCTATCTATCTATATATATATCTCTCTCTATATATATATATCATATCACTAAGCCATACTCTTGATTTTATAGATTGTAAAGTGTAAAATAAAGGTGTTATGGTAAAAATAAAATGGCGCCCTTCCTGGAGTGGCGGCAGTGGGCAGCGGGCAGGAAAACACAGCTAGCCACGAAAGCAGCTGGTCCCAGGCAGGGAGCCACATGGTGGGTGAGAGACAGAGACATGCAGAGGAAGTGGATATTTATTTAGTGGGTTATGGATTGGAAAAGGAAAGCAGGGGAGGGGAGAAGGGGGAAGAGAGAGAGAGAGAAAGAGAGAGAGAGAGAGAGAGAGAGAGAGAGAGAAGGGAAGAAGTCGGAAGAAGGGAGAGAGGCAGAAAGGAAGAAACTCAGGCTGGAAGCAGAAGGAAGACCTGCTTGCCTCAATGGATAGAGGGAGTGGGTGGGGCTTGTCTCTTAAAGAGACAGGACAGACCATTACAAAAGATATCACAGTTGGATCTTCTGGTATAGATATCTGCTCCCTGCTAATGTTGAAAATGACTCACAGGGACTCTGACCCTCAATCTAGTGTTTTTTTGATAGCTCCATGTGTATCTGACATTTTTTTCTATTTAGAAGGTATTATTATTTCATACAAAGTATTTACCCAGTAAAACTCTGTTTTTGAGATAGTCTAGCCTCATATTCATATATGTGTGTGTGTGTGTGTGTGTGTGTGTGTGTGTGTAAGGGTAACCTTGAATTCTGTGTTTTAAAGAATCAAATCTTTATCTATCTAACTATCGTTTTCCCATTTATGATCTATAGTTAAGGTCTCATGTAGCCCTGGCTGGCCTATAACTCCTAAAGTAGTGGAGTGTGACCTTGCATTCGTGATCTTCTGGCCTCTACCTTTAAGTGACTTGATGGAGGAAGGTCATTGGTTAAAAAATAAAGAAACTGCCGGGTGGTGGTGGCGCACGCCTTTAATCCCAGCACTCGGGAGGCAGAGGCAGGCGGATCTCTGTGAGTTCGAGACCAGCCTGCTCTACAAGAGCTAGTTCCAGGACAGGCTCCAAAACCATAGAGAAACCCTGTCTCGAAAAACCAAAAAAAAAAAATAATAATAATAAAAAATAAAAAAAAAATAAATAAATAAATAAAAAAATAAAGAAACTGCTTGGCTGGCCCTCATAGGTTAAAACATAGGTGGGAGGAGTAAACAGAACAGAATGCTGGGAGGAAGAGGAAGTGAGCTCAGAGATGCCATGCTCCCCTCTCCCGGGCAGACGCGGGGATAGCTCTGCTCTCTGAGGCAGACGCTAGCGATGAAGCTCCGACCCAGGATGGACATAGGCTAGAATCTCCCTGGTAAGCCACCTTGTGGGCTACACAGATTATTAGAAATGGGCTAGTCCAGGTGCGAGAGTTAGCCGAGAAGAGGCTAGATATAATGGGCCAAGCAGTGTTTAAAAGAATACAGTTTGTGTGTTGTTATTTTGGGGCATAAGCTAGCCAGGCGGCCGAGGTGCTGGGGACGCAGCCCCGCCGCTCATATTACAACAGTGACTATACAGTGCTTAACCCTAAATGCAACATCTATGTCAAGCCTCGCCTTCCCAAGGCTTGGGAACATAGCAGAAGAAGGGGTGAAAAGAGTGTAAGAGCCAGAGGCTTGACTGGAGTGCCGTAAAAGGCAGCTTTCTGGGCACAGCATGGCCATGTGCTCATGAATTCACTGAAGGTAGAGTTCTGTATGAGCTGCTGGGGTTCACACACCCTTGTTAATAAGATGCTGAGCCTCTGACCTCTTTGTTATCTCAAACAAATGAGTAAAACCAAGCAAAAACAAACCCAACAAACAAACAAAACCAGCCAACCAAACACAAAATGCTGAGCTAGCAGAAGAGAGTTTTATCATTACCGTACACATCTGGCTTATCTGGCTTTCAGATCAGTTTGCTTCCTGGAGGAAAAGCTTTTTTGCTGAGTAAAATGCTAAACTGGGGGCCAAAAGGTACCCTGTGACATATATTTCAAGAGATCTTTAGAAGTATGAACGGCTCCAAGTCCTTAATCTTTGCGCTGGGTTGAAATGTTTCAAGCATGAGTAATGGACTAAAATGAGGACAACCAGGGAGTGTGTGGAATCTGGCAGGTTCAGCAACTTGTTTCTTCCTGCAAACCAGAACTTGGAGTGCTTTTTACTGTCTGTTTACTGTTAATGTATTTCTCATTAAGAACCACCACGTTCTAGAGGAAGCTGAGTATCTGCAAGAGAAATAAAGTTGCTGTCCTTTTGCCTTGGGCTGTATCTTTCTAGTCCTCCTGACTGCTACTTCTGTTCACAGATTTTTGGGTATTTTTCTGGTAGGATTTGGTTAAGAGGTGGAGGCAGTGTTGTCATAAAAACAGACACGTGGACCAATGGAATCAAGTTGAAGACCCAGATGTAAAGCCATATACCTATGGACATCTGATTTCTAACAAAGAAGCCAAAATTATACAATGGAAAAATAAAGCATCTTCAACTGGATGTCAGCATGTAGAAGAATGCAAACAGATCCATATTATGGTGTGATGCCCCATCACACCATAAGGACACTTGCTCAACTATGTTCATGGCAGTTTTATCTGTAATATTCAGAACCTGGAAACAGTCATCATGTCCCTCTGCTGAGGAATGGATGAAGAAAATGTGGTTCATTTACACACTGGGGTTATTACTCAGCTGTTAAAAACAAGGACACCAGGAAATTTGAAAGCAAGTGGATGGAACTAGGAAAAAAAATATCATCGTGAGTGAGGTAACCCAGGCTGATAAAGACACACATGGCATGTACTCACACATAAGTGTATATGAGCTGTAAAATAAAGGCTAACTATACTACAATCCACAGACCCATAGAGACTAGTTAACAAGGAGAGCTCATTGTGGGTGGAGGGGCTACGGGGGGTGCATAAATTTCCCTGGGAAGGGGAAGCAGAAGAGATTTCACAAGTTGACTGAGAGCAGGTGAAGATGGGAACTTGAGCAATCAGGTTGGGGGGTATGAGGAAGGAGAGTGCTGAAGGGGTTTGCCAGGGGTGGCATTTGGGGGTTGGCACTGATGACTCTCCCAGGAGTCTATGGGAAGGAATAAGTAGCCTGAACTGGCTGTCTCCTGTGACCAGATTAGTGCTTGGCCCAATTGTCATCAGAGAGTGTTATCAGCAACTGATGGAGGCAGATGCAGAGACCCACAGCCAAACATTAGGTGGAGTCTGGGAATCCTGCAGAGGAGGAGGAGGAGGAAAGAAGTGTTGGAGCTGGAGGGATCAAGGACTCCGTGGGAAGGGTCACCCAGTCAACTCACTTGGGTTCATAAGGGCTTGCAGAGACTGAACCGACAACCAGGGAACCTGCATGGGACCGACATAGGCACTCTGCATATTCTACAGTTGTGTGACTCCTAATAGCGGGAACAGGGTCTGTCTCCGACTCTTACACTGGCTTCTGGGACCCTACTTCTCATACTGGGTCCCCTTGCCCAGCCTTAATACAGGGGAGTTGCTCAATTGTACTGCAACTTGATATGTCATGTTTTATTGATAATCCTAGGAGACCTGCCCTTTCCTGGATGGTGACTGAAGAGGAGGGGATTCGGGGATGGCAGGGGGTGGAATGGGGAGGACGATGGAGAGGGGGTCAGGATGTAAAATAAATAGATAAAAAAAGAGGTGGAGGCAGAAACTGTCATCCCCACAAACATAATACATGTTACATTTTGCAAACTGAACACGTTATATTTAGGAATATATGTATGTATGTACACACACACACACACACACACACATATATATATATATGTTTGTATTTTTGTGTGCATGTGATAGCAGTGAAAAGAGAGATCATTTTTTGAAGGAGACTGGAGAGGGATATATGGGAGGCTTTGAAGGGAGGAAAGGGAAGGGAGAAAACTTGTAATTATATTATAATTTCAAAGGAATAAAAAGAGGTGGAGGCAGGATCTTGAGTTCCAGAGCAACCTGGGCTTCATATTTAGGGGCTGTGGAGAAGGCTCAGTTGATAAGAGCATTTATAACCCTTCCAGATGATTGGAGTTCCATTCCCTGCACCACAGGGCGCCTCACAACCATCTGTAGCTCCAATTCCAGGTGATCTGACACCCTTTTCTAGCTTCCTTAGGTACCAGGCAAACTTGTAGTGCAAAATACCCATACACATTAAAAAATTGTGAAGACTTAATACCACTGTCTGATTTGATGTCACTGTATACAGGTGCCGTAAAGTGCTCTGTCTATATCAAAGTCGCAGCAATTGGCACAGATCCAAGGAGTGAATGGATAGAACCCAGCTCGGCCTCACTCAGCGAACTACCAATCCCATGCGGCAGTGCGCGACGCTCGCGCTCGGGGTGACGACTGGGGGCGTGGCATCCGAGGGCGGGGTCGCTCTGCGGGGTGCTGGCCCAGCGGCCGCGGAACCTAGGCTTGCGGGTGCTGGGGGTCCCTGGTGAGCGAGGGTCGCGCGGCTGTGCCGTGCGATGGAACGGGCGAAGATGGCGGAGGAGAGCCTGGAGACCACCGCGGAGCACGAGCGGATCCTGAGGGAGATCGAGAGCACAGACACGGCCTGTATCGGGCCCACGCTCAGGTACCGGGGCGGGGCCGGGTCGGCGGGAGCGGGCGGAGCGCGGCGGCTGGCAGAGGGGAGAGCCGCTGGTGTCCCCGTCCTGGGCGAGGCCCTGCTGGGGAGCCTGTCTGGAGAGAGGGTGAGGCTCGGCTCTGTTGGGCCGCCGCTCCCTTCGGGCAGCAGCTCTTAGTCAGGAGCGGGCGCCGGCTCTGCGTGCAGGGGAACTGCCCATCACAGCTCCTTTGAGAGCGTCCCTGTGATGTCGGTCCTGGGGGAAGAGTTCTCCCACCTTCCTTCACCTGAGAGCCCGGTTCGTGAGGACGACCTCGCCCAAGTGCTGCCCCGGGACCTTGCCAGCTCCTGGACCTGCTCCTTCTTCCTTCCCTGCCTCCTCCGACAGCTTCCACCGGCGCTGCCCGCGGAACCGCCAGAACGGACCTGGTTAATTACTTTGCACTGGTTTCACAGAGAGCAAGGCATTGTGCGAATTGATGTGCTAATACAACTATGGAAGCCATTGAGCAGTCCTACCGCTGGGACAGAGTTACTGTTGACCAGTAGTAGACGGCGCGGGGAAGTGAAGTGACTTGTCCAAGGTCACAGGGAAGGAAAACGGGTTTCTAGTTCCCAGCACAGACTCTGCCTCCCCGGTCCTAGTCCTTGTCCTCCTCCTCGTCTTCGTAGTCCTCCCCGTCCTTGTCCTCGTCCTCGTCCTCGTCCTCGTCCTCGTCCTCCTCCTCCTCCTCCTTCTTCTTCTTTTTTTTTTGTGGCGCTGGGGATGGAACCCAGTGTGCCAGGCAAGCGCTTTTCCGCTGAATTGTGCCCAGCCCACAGATTCTTCACTACTTTTTCTGCCTTAGTTGGGGATTACCATATGCTATACTTCCTGTTGAAAATTGTTCACCAAGACCAATTTTGAATCCCCGCAGTTTCCTGGTGTCCTAGAACCAGTTCCTCCTGGTCCTTTCCTGTGGCGCTTTCTGGTCTCCGTTCAGTCCGAATGGAAAATCGCTTTACCACTCCTTGCACAACATTGGGTCCGCGTTCCTCCCTTCAGAAGGCGTCACTAATCATTTCATGGGGAGACTTGTCCCAGGAAAGAGTGACCAAAGAGGCCCAGGATCTTTGCTTTTAGCTTTACTTGCACAGCTTTCTTCTCCAGGCTCCATTGTTAGTTTCAAGCAAGTTTTCTTAGTGTCCTTTCTCCTGGAAATAACTGTCCTTAGTCATCTGTACCTCTCCCTCCTTTCCTTCTTTTTTTCTTTTCCAGTGCTAAGGTTTGAACTAGGTATAGCAACAATGCTTTACCACTGAGTTGCATCCCCAGTGCCCTTTTAGCTCTCCCCTCGCCCTTTTTTTGTGCCAGTTCTCTTACACAATTGCTCCCCTGTCCTCTTTGTATCACGGTCATGCTCCTCTCATTCCCTGTTTTCTTGTGTTGTGGAAGGCCAGTGATTTTCATTTCATAGTCCTTTATAAACGACCAGGGCCCCTCACTAATCCCCTCCTAAATGCGTTATTCGTGGCTATTACTGTTTGGCTTTCAGCGACTGGAAATGTTATGTTCTTGTCTGTTAGGAAATCTGGCTGCTGGATTGAGTATTTAGGACCAAAGTTTAGGCAGGATTCCTTATCAGAGCAGCATCCGTGTTGTCTTGAGTTGCTTGTGGTTTTCAGTTGCTGTTGTTTTATACAATAAATAACTTGGGTAGTACCATAAATTTAGTTTACTGTGATAAATATGTTAACCCTCAGTGTAAAACATTTTATTTTTCCAAAAAAAAAATAAATAAAAAAAAAAGAAAAAAAAAACATTTTATTTTTTTCCATGGGAGATGTAGTTCCTGTATCCCAGGCTGTGATCATACTTGCCGTCTAGTTGAGAAAACCCTTGAACTTCCCATCCTCATCAAACCCACTCTTCCTAAGTGCTGGGATTACCGTCTAGCACCACCGTGCTTAGTTTTATGCCATGCTCGGGATTGAACCCATGGCTTGCTGCCTATTAGGTGAACATCCCATTAATTGAGCCACATGTCTACCACCAGTAATGTATGTGTATCAACTGGATTTTGGTGTTTAATTTTCTGGCATCTGAGCTTTAGTAATGTATATGTTATAATTTAAACATGTTATCCGTTCTCCCCAGATTTTCTCATTATGATTACTGAACTCTTTTTCTTCTGGTTCTGTGCTTGTGCATGAATTACAAAGTCTTTTACTTTATGGGAACATTGTTAAACAACAACAAAAAAGGAAGTTCAGGAACTATCACATGACGCTATATGGTCTAGTTGTTTTTCCTGACTATATTGTTAGAGGATTTGGATTAAATTTTTACAATTTATTTTATTTTCATTCGTGTTTTGTCTGCATGTATGTTTGTGTGACGGTGTCATAAGCCCTGGAACTGGAGTTACAGACAGGCTTGGGTGCTAGGAATTGAGCCTGGGTTCTCTGAAAGAGCAGCCAGTACTCTTTTAAAGATTTATTTATTTATTATGTATATAGAATTCTGCCTGCATGTATTTTTGCATGCTAGAAGGTGGCATGAGATCTCACTATAGATGGTTGTGAACCACATGTGGATGCTGGGAATTGAACCCAGGTCCTGAAGGCGAAGGCGTAAGTCACAAACAATCCCACACCAGTTTGGAATTATGATTAATAGAATGGTTATTTATTTAAAGGGGAACAAACTTACAAATCACCGTCCCAGACAATAGCCCTCTGCGCAATCAGGAAGGGAGTCTAGTTGCTGGAAGCAGAGCAGGAAGCAAAAAGAGAGCAAGGAGGGAAGTGGCCGCTTTTTTAAAGGGCGAGAGACCACGCCCCAATGGGCTGGTATCTCAGCGGCTATTGGCTGGATGAGCGGAAGAACCTCCCGCAACAAGGTCCTCTAGAAGAGCAGTCAGTGCTCTTAACTTCTGAGCCATTTCTCCACCCCGGAGTGGCCGCGTAGATCATGCTGTCCTTGAATTTACAGAAATCTGCCTGCCTTTGCTTCTCCAGATGGGATTAAGGCCTGTACCATTTATGCCCGGCTGAGAGCTTCTTTTGAGGCTGTGGCATAAAAATACAGCTACACTTCAACTTGACCTTGGCTGAAGAAAGTCAATTATCATAGAGGGCCATCCTCTTCAGTGCAGCTTGAGAAGGTCACACTTAGAACAGCAACGAAGGAAGGGAACACCTGCCTAGCTAGCCATATCAGCCCCGGCAATCTGGTGATCAGTGGGGTTATGATGTCACTGCCGAATTACCCTCACATCTCAAGTACTAACATTCTTATTCCAAATAAGTTGTGAACAATAGCTCTGTTTTTTCATTTTTCAAATCCCATGTCTGTATTTCTACTCTTATTTATCACATTATTTAACTAATAGTCATTTCCGTATTTTGCTTGGTGGGTCAGAGCAATTGGCATTCACTCTAGTTGTACTTAAAATTTTGTTTTTAAAATTTTTACCTTGAGCCGGGCGGTGGTGGCGCACGCCTTTAATCCCAGCACTCGGGAGGCAGAGGCAGGCGGATCTCTGGGAGTTCGAGGCCAGCCTGGTCTACAAGAGCTAGTTCCAGGACAGGAACCAAAAGCTACGGAGAAACCCTGTCTCGAAAAATCAAAAAAAAAAAAAATTTTACCTTGAATAATAAAATACATTGCCATTTAAAAAATAGCTTTATAGCCAAGTGTGATTGTTCATGCATGTATCCCAGCACTTGGTTGGTGACAGCAGGAAGACAGGGAGTTCAGAGTCATCTTTGGCTACACAGCAAGTTCCAGACCAGCCTGGAGTATATGAAACCCTATCTTTAAAAAGTAGCTTTACTGAGATATAATTCATATAATAGCATATGATCTACATATTGTTTAAAATGTGTAACTGCCTAGGTGGTGGTGATGCACACTTTTAATCCCAGCACTCAGGAGGCAGAGGCAGGCAGTTCCCTGTGGGTTCTTTTATAGCCAGGACTGTTTCATAGACAAACCCTGTCTTGAAAAACCAAAAATAAATAAATAAACAAACATGGCTTGCAGTATATTGATAGAGTTGTGCAGCAACCACCACAGTCTAATTTAGGACTATTTTACCTTCCCCAAACAAACACATATTCTCTGAGAATCACTGTTCATTATTTTCCTCTCTTCCATGCCATTCTTCCTTTCCTGTTTTATTTTTTTTCAAGGCTGTTCTTGAACTAACTTTGAGCTCTAGATCTTTTTGCCCCGCCTCCTAAATGCTGGAATTACAGTTGTGCACCACCACATCCAGCTTCCCACTTGCTGCTTTGGACATCTGGACATTTTGTGTAAATAGATTTATACAGGAATTATTTTTTTGCTACTTACGGAAATGTTTTCAAGGTTTACCCATATGGCTATGTATCTGACTTTATTTTTTTTTTTATTGCTGAATAAAACTCCATTGCATGAATGTACTGGTATCACATTTTATTTGTCCATGAAGTTGGTGCATATTTTGATCATTTCCATTTTGGGATTGTTAAGAACAATGTCCTATGTCCTGTTTTTTTGTGTGGACTTATGTTTTCATTTCTGGAGATTAGAGGAAGCAGTTGTGATCATTGTGCAGCTTCCCCAAGGCAGTCGCAGAATGTTCCAAATTTCCAGTGGTGTAAGGGTGATTAGGTTGTCTGCTTGACTGACATCCCCTTTGCTGAAGGCACTTAGAGCAAGGGAGTGTGTAGCAGCTGCCAATTAGGAAATCAGATTGCTCCATTCTCCAAGATTTTTACTTATAAAAAAATAGACATCAGAAGAATGTTTCATTTTTATCTTTACTTTTTTTATTAAGATTTTTTAAAAAATACAGTCTCCTTTTACATAACTATCCCCGTTCCCACCCCCTCCTCTCCTCCTGCTTCCCTCACCTTCCCCATCCCACTCCCCCATCCACTCTTCATAAAGGGTAAGGCTTCCTGTGGGGAGTCAACAAAGTCTGGCATATCACTTTGAGGCAGGACCAAGGCCCTCCCCTAAGCAAGGTTATCCCTCCAAA